GACCCTGGTAGTTGGACATGACCAAATTGCTTGGATAAGCTCACAACATATGTGTACAAGGTGCTGACATGTAAAAATCCATCACACACAATGAAGAAAATCTGCATCAAACCCACAAATGGGGTGTGGGAAGGACTTTTCTCCTTTTGCTAGTGAACACATGGCACCTATGGGACCACTGTGTCTCCTTCCTTCATTAATGAAAAGCAGCTAGGAGCCAAGCTGTGAACTAGTTCAGCATGACCAATTGGCTTTATCGACTTGGCAATTCAAACTGACTTCCGGTGGTTGACGGCTATGATTGGTAGTGCCAGCGGGTAGGTGGGACACATTTCCACAAATAAGTAGCATCAATTCTCTCTTATGCAGTCAAAGGTTAAAACAAGAAGTGAGATCTCCATTTCCCATGCAAACTGGCTATGGAAATATTTCCTGAGCCCAAACCACAGCAGCATTTTTCAGACTGACTGCAACAGCGAATTTCCTATTTCTTTCTTTTTTTTTTTTTTTTTGGAGACAGTTTCACTCTTGTTGCCCCGCCTGGAGTGCAGTAGCGTGTTCTTGGCTCACTGCAACCTCCGCCTCCCAGGTTTAAGTGATTCTCCTGGCCCAGCCTCCGAAGTAGCTGAGATTACAGGCATGTGCCAACACACCCATCTAATTTTTTGTTTTTAAGGAGAAACAGGGTTTCACTATGTTGGTCAGCTTGGTCTCGAACTCCTGACCTCAAGTGATCCACCCGCCTTGGCCGCCCAAAGTGCTACGATTCCAGGCGTGAGCCACCAGGCCTGGACCAAATTTCCTATTTCAAAACCCATTTAATCGCACAATTGAGGAGCTTGGACCTATTTTTCAATTGGAAGTGATGAGTCTGCAATATAAGGAAATGCTAATAGGCACACATCAAGAGAAGAATAATAGGCACACATCAAGAGAACAATCTAACAGAATCCCATCAGTGTCTTCTAAGCAATGAATATGCTCAGTGCCAATTATCTGCTGTGGACTGACATTAAATCAGTAGTATCCATCTGTGTGAAAAGGCATTTTCAAAAGTGAAATATGTACATAAAATCTTTATTATTACATATTAGCCTTCATAAACATTTGCAATCCATGTTGGTGATGGGATCACTCAATCTCAACTCCAATTATATATTTCCCTACCCCCACAAATTATCTCTCTCATTAATAGACTTCTATTACAAAAAAACTGTATTCCTTTCATCAATAAAAATTTTGTGGAAAATGTCTTTTTCTCATTATGCAACCGTCTACACAAGTACCAGCATACCTCGATTTGGCCTCTTTGCCCACAAAGCCTAATCAACTTACTATCTCATCTGTTACAGAAAAATTGTGCTGATCCTACATATAGGCTCTATTAGAAAATGAAGATTTTGCCAGGCTCGGTGGCTTCACGCCTATAATCCCAGCACTTTGGGAGGCCGAGGCAGGCAGATGAGAAGGTCAAGAGATCGAGACCATTTGTGGCCAACATGGTGAAACCCCATCTCTACTCAAAATACAAAAATTAGCTGGGCATGGTGGTGCGCACCTGTAGTCCCAGCTACTCGGGAGGCCAAGGCAGGAGGATCACAAGGTCAAGAGATCAAGACCATTTGTGGCCAACATGGTGAAACCCCGTCTCTACTTAAAATACAAAAACTAGCCAGGCATGGTGGTGCACACCTGTAGTCCCAGTTACTTGGGTGGCCAAGGCAGGAAGATCACCTGAACGCAGGAGGTGGAGGTTGCAGTGAGTCGAGATCGCACCACTGTACTCTAGCATGGTGAAACAGCAAGACTCTGCCTAAAAAAAAAAAAGAGGATTTACAGTACCAGTATGTAAATACATCTGACATACTGCTTTTACAAAGAGCAAATTTTAAGGCAATATAACTCTATGAATGCAACCAATAATCTTAAAATACCTATCTGCATTAGTATGCTTGTAGAAACACACACACGAAATGTGTGGAAGGAAATATTAAACTGTGGACAGTGTCTGCTTCGAGCAGACAAACACTCCAACCCATAGTCTGTTCTCCATAAAGTGTACAGGGTTACATTTAAAACCTAAATCGGACTTGGTTACTCCCCTGTTCAAAAGCCCCAGTGGCTTCTTATCACACTTCAGAACAAAACAAAATAGCCACCCGCCTTGTCAGAGCCAGAAGGTCCCGAAGCTCTGGCCCCAGCCCGTCTCCAACCTCCTTCCAATGCGCCTCCCTCCAGCGCAGGAAGTCCTTGCTGTACTGGCCTCCCTGTTGTTCCTGCAAGCATTTCTCTCCATCAGGACATTTGTTCCTGCTGTTGCCTCCAGCTGAAACATAGATTTTGGCAGTCACAGGCTCCCCCCTACTTCCCAGGCCTGTGACCAGATGTCACCTTCTCAGGGAAGCCTTCACTGGCCACCTTATCTAGCCAATGCACTATTATTTTTCTTTTGATCATCAACTGCTGGATGGTTGACACTATTACACACTTATTTACTATTTGTCTTCCTCTACGGGGGTGCATGCTGCTTCATTCTCTGCTATGTCCCCACAAACTTGCAGAGCGCCTCAGACATGATGGGTGCATGATGCTCATTAGTTATTAAGTGAACTAATGAAAAGAGACAAGTGAGGAGGTGAGATGGGAATTCTAGTCTTCTTCGAAAGCTTTGTTACAATGGAAATGTATCTGTGTACTGTTTATAAAATTAGAGAAAAAGAAAAAAATTAGTGATTTTTAAGATTTTATAAAACAAAATGGTTTCTCCTGCAGTTCCCATTCTATTAATGTCCTGAAGCTCTTTGTAACTTGTTTTTTGAAACATTTTTTACCGTCTTAGATATCGACAACAGCAACAAGTAAAAGTGAGCTGAAAACAGACATGGAAGAAAAAGACCTTTATTCTGACATGAAAGATTTGGAGACAGTTTCCGCACAGACGTTTTTACTCCTCCGCAGTTCCACCAGGTATAGAGTGTGCATACCTGACACTGAAACTCAAGGCCTTATAGTTTCATTTGCTAAGGCAGATTCCCAAAGAGAGTTGGTTTACCCGAGTCCCAGGGGGCTGACAGTGGACAGTTTAAAACATCCATGAGTCTCAGTTTTACTACTACAGACGGTTTAGATTTAGGCTAGCCAACACGTAGGTCTTTTTATGTCCTAGAATCCAGTGACTTCCCAAGTCTCTGGAATGACATGAAGGCAGAGGACTCTAGAAGATGTCCTTACGTTAGCGCACGCAGAATGTTTCGCTGCACCAGGGCCCTGCCTGGACGCCACTGCCTGATGGCCAGCACCAATGAGAGAAGACACCTCTAGATCTCCACCAGGGCGCCAAGTTAACCAGTGCTGGCCCCTCACCCCTTCTACTAACCCCAACCTCCGGAGGCTGTTGACACCGGAGGTGATGTTCTAGAACACAAAACACACCTGCTTCCAAGGACTATCACCCTCCCGACAACACTGGGATTTTAAGGTATGCCATACTTTTTGCAATCAGCTTTTCCCTACTTAATTTACATTTGCATGTCATTATTATTCAAAAGCTTAAAAAATACACAAGATGAAAACTGGAAAGGAGGAGAATGTAAACTTCAGAACAGGATATTCTTAACTACCAAAAGAATTTTACACATCTATTGTTTTATACTAACTTTTGAGTCAACATTTTAAAATGAGTATTTTGAGAACACATACTAAGGCTAATGGAACACAAAATAACAGCTTCTTGTCAAATTTAATATATGTTCAGAAAGCCAAGATATAAATAGTAGGCTAAAAATATACAAAATTAGTTTCACTCTTTTTGTGAAGCAATTACTAGGGAGTTTACACTCAAGGAAAAGATATGTAACACATCTTGTGATGATCTCAAACCCCACAGAGTTAATGCATTCTTACTCAAATTTTAATCTGATCTTTAGGAAAAGATGGTCAAAGTTCAAGATTTCTTCAATTTTGTTTGCTGGGAACTATTTGTGCTTATAACCGTGAAGTGCAAAATGTTTTTTTGGTGACTTTTGCTACAATGATATGGTTTATTATTATAGTTATAATTTATGAATAGGAATAAATATTTTCAAGTGATGCTTCAAGCAAAATAAGTACAAGTCAAACAAGGCCTGTTCCAAATGAGCAAAAATGTTTTAAAAATATTTCTTCATGGTTAACACTACCCAAAGTTTCTTCAAAAATCAGTATTGATAAGAGATTTCTAAATGATTTTTTTTTTTTTTTTTTTTTGGAAACAGAGTTTAGCTCTTGTTGCCCAGGCTGGAGTGCAATGGTGCAACCTTGGCTCACCGCAATCACCACCTCCTGGGTTCAAGTGATTCTCCTGCCTCAGCCTCTCGAGTAGTTGGGATTATAGGCATGTGCCACCACACCCAGCTAATTTTCTATTTTTTAGTAGAGAAGGGGTTTCTCCATGTTGGTCTGGCTGGTCTCGAACTCCCAACCTCAGTTGATCTGCCCGCCTCAGCCTCCCAAAGTGCTGGGATTACAGGCATGAGCCACCATGCCTGGCCCTAAAGGTACTTTTCAACACTTCCTCTTTCTTGATACAATCAATGGCTTAAGCCACCTTAATTTCCTTCTTTAAACAGCCTCACTAAGGACTATTAAGAGGGCTACTATATGCATCTTTATATGATCTTCACACTGCAGCACAAGACTTCAATAGAACAAGGAAAAAGCCTTCACTCCCCTCAGTTACTCAGACTACAGACTACTTATCATTTTGACCTATAAGAAGGAAAAGGCTTGGAGAAAGAGTTTCATAACAACAGATCCGACCAATAAACCTAGATGTTCCACAGGGCAGCAAGTTATCTACTCCTAAGGAATTTATCATTGCAATGATCAAATGCACATTCTGTAAGTAAAAACAGGGGAAGATGGGGAAATAACTTAAGAAAAAGTTGTGATAAATTTAAAATATGGATGCACTGTTACATGTTTATTTAGCAAAGGTGACTTGGAAAAGGAGATTCACATACTTCCAGGGTTTCCTCTGGGTAAGTTTCCCTTTTCTTCTGTAGACCTCTCCACGTTACAATCGACTACAAAATGCGGCTCATGTTCACTCTGGGCTTTGCTTTCAGAGGAGTTTGATATTTTGGAAGTGGTGCCTTCGTTCTCTGTGCCTTTCAGACACACTGCTTCTTTCACTTCTTCCAAGCTTCCTTCCGAAGGAGTTAAATCACCATCCTGTCCTTTTCGAAGAGCAGGGTCCTCAGCAGGGTAAGAAAGGCCATTTCCTCCTGGGCATGCGTCATCTTTCTGCTGAGGCCCAGCCTGTCTACCGCACCTTAGGGTTTCTTCAGGGGCAAAGGATTCCTCAGAAGTCACGCAACTCAAAGCTGCATGGCCTTCACCATTTGCAGGTTTCTGAGCCCTGGAGATAGTTTTTGCTGTGAAACGGGTAATGTCAACTGTTTTGGTTCTTTTACCAACGCAGGAAAAATCTGCCATTTCCAATATGCTTCTTCTCTCCTTCTTTGAAAGACTTCTGCAGCTGAACTGAGCAGGGCTTGATGGCAGCTGAGGTTCGGGAGGAAGGTTCTCTGAATTCCTTTCCTTAAGGTTATCAGGTGAAAAATAGTCATCATATGAAGACTCCTCACAGCTAACAGCCTGGAGCTGAGATCTGGCCATGCGCTGCAGGCTGCCTTGTGACTTGCACAGTTGCAGCCTTGGCATGATAGATCTCCTGACGCTCCGCTTTCTCTTGCATTTTTCCTTCGGAGGTGAACGGGAGCCATCTGATATTCTTTTTCTCTTTACCGAGGAACTCCTGGGTCTTGAACGTATTGACAGGTGGCCTTTTGTTGAAGGTAACATAGGAGACAAACGACACTCTTCAACCGTCTCCTGAGACACGCCTGCAGCCTGCTTTTGGTCAGGGGTGACTATTTTGCCTACGACATTTCTTTGCAAGTTCATTTCTTCATTTGAAACATTATTCAGAAATTTCTGAGGACTTGATTTATCAAGGTAAGTAAAAGATGGTGATGAATGAATATTATTTGTTGTCAATACAAGTGAAGAAATACATGTATCACTTTTAATGTCATTGATGGATCTTCCCAACTTCCTTTCCTGATTTCCACATCCTGAGTTTCCACAAAGATCATCAAAAGATGAGTGTAAGCCACCAGCGAAGGATTCATCTGGAAAACATCAATGGAGAACTAACTTTAAAAAGTGGTTTAAATTATTCTAAATTCAACTTTCTGTTGACCAATAAAACGATACATGTAAAGTATAGCTATTAGTTAAGAAGACTATTAACCACATTACGGTTCTTGTCATTTCCATTTAAGAATACATTTTAGGCCAGTATTTTTAACTAGACAACCTGGGCTTTGATGAGTGTACAGGAGAGTGGTGGGGATAGACAAGAAGGGTAAGAAACTTCTAAAAATTTTGGCAAATTTCCATGTGCACGCGCATGTTTTCCAGGAAGAGCATCACACAGTTTGTCACTAAATTTTCCAGGAGGTCAGTAATTCCAAAACCTAAGATTTACACTGTAAGGTCTAGGGAAAGTTCTAGTCTTGCACGAAACACTCCCTCAATGAACACAGCTCACCTTTACCTTCCCTGTCTTCCAGTGAAGCCCTCGTATTACACTTATCTTCAAAACTGAACCATCTGATAGGCCTTAATGTTTCAATTTCCTGTATAATGTTTCAAATCTCTCTCTATTCATACATATATATATGCATATATATATATATAGCTTACTCATTTCCTGAGACTAATGCTAAGCTGCTGCTACCTCCTGAAAATTCTATATTCCTCGGTACCCTCCAGGCCTCGCCCTTTCCTTCACACTTTAGTCTGGGTAAATACAATTCATCCTTCAAAACCCACCTGGTTGTCAATATCCCTAGAACCCTCCGACCGCCCTTGCCAGGCCTCCCTGGCCTTGCCCCTCCACATCATACAGCCCCATGGTTACCTGGGTGTCTGCGCATCACTAGTAAGTATAAGCTACTAGAGGTCTGTTCATTTTGCGATGATTATGAAGAAGTCTCTAGGGCTGTGCTGGCTCCCTCAAAAGGGGCTCAGTACTTGCTGGCAGAGTGCCTTTGTTTTGTAGAAATCACTCAGTCTGGAGGTAACATAAGTGTTGTAACTCTCTGACTGAAATCACCAAAGTTCTGCTTTAAAAAGGAAGAACAGGCTGGGCACGGTGGCTCATGCCTGTAATCCTAGCACGTTGGAGGCTGAGTGGGCAGATCACCATGTCAAGAGATGGAGACCATCCTGGTCAACATGGTGAAACCCCATATGTACTAAAAATACAAAAATTAGCCAGGTGTGGTGGCGTGTGCCTGTAATCCCAGCTATTCGGCAGGCTGAGGCAGGAGAATCACTTGAACCCGGGAGGCGGAGGGTGCAGAGAGCCGAGATCACGCCACTGCACTCCACCCTGACTACAGAGCAAGACTCCATCTCAAAAAATAAATAAAATAAAATAAAATAAAATTTTAAAAAGGGAAGAACATAGGTAACCAGCAAAGCTTCCCTTCTTGCTGTGCTCCAGAAGAGGAGGGAAGTCCAGTGGGCAGGTAGCACCACGTGTGTCTTCAAAGCAGTAGCTGGAAATAAGGTCATTTTTTCAGCCTCTAACATTATGTTTTTATTTTTATCACACTCTTCAAAAAGCTGATAGGCAGTGTGACGTGCCACTAAGAGTGTAAACTGTGATGTCAGACTGCCTAAGTTAGAAGCTTGGGTTTGCCATTCACAAACAACATGACCTGGTATAAGCTGTTTGACCTCTGTGTCCTGAGTTTTCACTGGCAAAATGGGGATGGCCACTTCCTAAGGCTAATAGGAGCATTAAATGAGATACTGTGAATGAGACACTCAGAGGAGTGCCTACAACACAACACCAATGATATCAATGTTAGCTACGATCATCATTTCTTTCCAACTTCCAGGGAATAAATGTATCAAGTATACAGCGAAAAGACAGAGACTGTTTAAGACAAATAAGTAAATAATTCCAGCACACAGAGGTAAGAGTGAAAGGATTAAGCCTGCACTGAAAGGAGGCTTTGGTTTAAGCTTCTAATATCTTGATGTCTTGTGCTTTGTCATTGCTGGGGCTTTCATAATAAATATTCCATAACATCTCAAGCACTTCTGAATGCAGTTTTTCTTGGAGTCACTGCTAATTACTTGGGCCCTATTAGGGGCTAGGTGAGAAAACTGTAAGAAATTTGATATGAAGAAGATATGACCACGAAAAATTATCAACCTTAGTGAAACAAGGGCTCCCACATTAAAAAACATCTAAGTGCATAGCATGTAACTAATTGTATTAATTCTTACCAATATTCTTTCTGCTATTAATTAGGAATCTTCTATTTATGTCCTCAATTTATAGATGATCTTTATATACTTCACTGACCCCATTCAGTAACACATGCCTTATGTTCACTATACATTGTGTGAAACACTTCCTTAGCTCTGACTGCTCTCAGATTTATGTAAACTGTGTAAGGATTAGTTTATATATGATCACAATCATTTTTTTAAACCAGCAAGTGGTTCTGCAGCAAGAAAGCAAATGCCTAGGAAATAAACCTACAGAAACCAAAAAGGAAGTTTAACTCATGCCTTAATTTTATTACAATACCTGATTTCAGGGGGAAATTTAGAAGTTCTAGTTTTAACTCATTATTTTATTCATCAGAAATTGCTGCATGAAATTCTAAATTAGATAATCATATTATTCTCAAAGCTTAAACATATCACAGAAAGAAAAAAATAATTTTACCTGAACATAAAGCATCATGTGAAATGTTCAAAGGTGCTTCACACTGAGACTTAGTTGGATTATCGTGAGACTGCTGAATCATTTGGGAAGCTAAAAACAGGACCAAAACATTTCATTAGATAAAGTTTCAGTATTTTTTAGCAGATGATGCCAACAAGTCTACCTATTAATCACAGGTGGTTCTATTAAATCCTATAATCACAAAATTAAAAGAGACCTTAAGTCAACTAGCCTGAATCTAATCGGAAGCTCATAAGAGCTAAACAAACATTTCCAGTCTCCTTTAGTGTTTTTGTTTGATAATCACGGCTTTTTCTTCAAGGATACTCATCATAGTTGCCTCTAAAACTAGAGCACTGCTACTCAACCAGGGGTGATATGCAATCCTGGCCAACATTTGGTAATGCCTGGACACATTTTTGGATGTTGCCAGAGAGGGAGGGCAGTGGGTATGTTGCTGCTGTTAGTGAGGAGAGGCAGGGATACTGCTGAACTTCCTGCCACACACAGGGCAGTGCCCCCAAGAATCACCCAGACCCAAATGTCAGCTGTGCTGGGTTGAGAAATCCTGGAGGTTTCATAGAAAATACTTAGGATATCAATGATGTAACAAATAAGGTCGTAAGTATTATCTTCAAAGGCTGTTGATAAGACAGTCAAGAAACAAAATAAATGTTTGGATCTCATATCCAAAGATTTTTTTAGAGACTCAAAAGGATACTTTTCTGAGAAAACTTGAGCAAAAAAGAGAATAAACCAAGATAAGGAAGGGAAGCACACATAAAATTTCCAGTTACATTTGCAACCGTGCTGGATGTGAAGGGGCAAAATTAACAATGGAAAGTAACAGAAACAGTCAACTCTAAGGCAAGTTAGTTTATACCCATGACTGCACATTGAAACAATTTGGATGTCCACCTGGCACACAGCTAGTTACCTACCTCAGTGTCCATTCTCACTTCCTCTTAACAACAGAACTTTGATTTTATCAGCACAGCAATGCATCCCAGTAAAGACTATGTTTCAGTTCTGCTTGAAAAAGGGGTGGCCCTATGACCACATTCCAGCCAATGCAATCAGGCAGGAACACTAAAGAGACATCTGGTAAGGCTGACCAAGGGAGATGGCTCAGCTGGGAAGCACACACATTTCAGGAGAAAAGCCAGGCAGGCACAACAAAAAGACGGGAACCTGGTTTCTTGAGGACACCATAGAATGGCAGCCCAGTCCTGACTGCCTACTCCTGAACTAGACAAGACAGAGAAAGGCAATTCTATCAAGTTTAATTCATTGGTTTTTGTGTTTCTTTGTTATATGCAGCTAAACCTAACCTTAACTGATGTAGATGGACAAAGGACATTAAATTAAAAGAGGTAGTAGTTGATAACATTAAAAGCTGCATTCAGTAAGTCATAGTCAATAATATGAAAAGGCGCTTAAACTTGCTTCTAATCAAAAGTAACTTAAACAAATCCAGTTTTTCAAGCTTCAGATTAAAAAGGGCTACAGGCTAACGCCATTCAGTTTTCCAAGTGTGGAGAAAGGGGGTATCTTATAAACAACTGGTGAGAATAATATGATCCCATTTTGTTTTCTGAGACAAAGTTTCACTCTTTTTACCCAGGCTGGAGTGCAATGGCACAATCTTGGCTCACCACAATCTCTGCCTCCTGGATTCAAGCGATTCTCCTGTCTCAGCCTCCTGAGTAGCTAGGATTACAGGCATGCGCTATCACGCCTAATTTTGTATTTTTAGTAGAGACAGGGTTTCACCATGTTGGTCAGGCTGGTCTTGAACTCCTGACCTCAGCTGATCCACCCACCTCGGCCTCCCAGAGTGCTGGGATTTCAGACGTGAGCCACCATGCCTAGCCCCCAAATTTTTGGAAGGATAATTGAAGTTGTGGCACACAACTGTATCCCTAGCTGCTTGAGAGGGTGAGGCGAAAGTACTTGAGCGCAGGAGTGCAAGTCATGCCTGGACAACACAGTGAGACTCTATATCTTTAAAAAAAAAAAAAAAAAAAATCAAATTCTGCATGTATGAATTAATATTACTGAAATACATGAAGTACCCAGAAATATAAGGATGCACGTAGATGCATACAGGGGTTATAACGTGTCCAAAGAAAGGAAAATGGCTTAATAAAAAGAAGAGCAACTAAGCCATATGGTTAAAAAAAGAATGAAAACTACAGCCCTATTTCTAACAAAGAAAAACTGGGGGAAAAAAATATCCATCAACAGACGATTCGGTATTAAAGCTGTAGAGCACTTGGCAGCATCTTAAAAAAAAAAAAAAGAGGTCAGTCTACAACAACTAAGCTGCAATAAAACCTCCAGATACTCTTAAGAAAGAAAACAAAGCGGATAATAACACATATGTCATCATCTAATTTAGGTAAAATAGAAATTACACGTCCACACAGAAACCAAACCTGTACCTTTCTCATGTATACACAGATATCTGATACACTGAAACCGATCTGGAAAAACACATCAACTTAAAATACAGGTTCTCCCTGGCAGAGGAGTAGAATTAGGTGGGTATCAAGATGAACTTTTACTATTAGCTAATTTGTTAAGTATTTTATTAAAATGTGCTCACTTACACTTCAGTGATTAAAAATTTTTAAGATAAAAGAAATAATGAAAAATGATTCATCAGATACATTAATCTAAAGCAAATTCCTAAAAAAGACATGATTCATGGCTGGGCGCAGTGCCTCACACTTGTAATCCTAGCACTTTGGGAGGCTGAGGTACGTGGATCACTTGAGGTCAGGAGTTCAAGACCAGCCTGGCCAACATGGTGAACATATCTCTACTAAAAAAAGAAAGAAAGAAAAGAAAAATTAGCCAGGTGTGGTGGTGGGCACCTGTAATACCAGATACTTGGGAGGCTGAGACGGGAGAATCACTTGAACCCAAAAGGAGGAGGCTGCAGTGAGCTGAGATCACGCCACTGCACTCCAGCTTGGAGTTTTCTTTGAAACTCCGTCTCAAAGAAAGAAAGAAAAAAAGACATGATTCGTTTTCTTAAAAAGAGAAAGAAAAAACTCCAAAGATAATAAAAATTACAAAGGAGCTGCAACGAATAGAATTTTAAACTTGAAGAATACTGTATATCTAATATACACTTCAAAAATCTTAATGATACATAAGATTTTCTGGGAAACAAAGCCAGCCACGAAATAGGCCAAAATTTGTTACTATCAAGAAACATTAACTACATTATCTAGACAAAGAAAAAAAAAAAAAAGCTTTCCATCATATCACCTATTTGCATAATTTTCATTTTATAAACTGTAATTACTTACAAGTGGGGGAAAGATTTTCCCTTTTCTCCTTCATCTCTCGTAATCTCTTCTCCATTGCGCTGTGGTGACTGTTATTAATTTTCATTCTGGGACTGTATGTTAATGAACCATTAGATTCAAATAAGAGAATAGGTACGTCATCATCTGAAAAGAAAAAATCCACTTTAAGATCAAAAAGTACCTTCCTACTTCAAGAATATGATTCCTTTTAAGGAACACCCCCACACACCCCGCTTTCCTTCCCTCCTTTGGACATCATTACCTACTTTTGCTAATATTCTAAGCCCACCACCTCCACAGGCTGCTGGCTCACATCGGCTGAGCACCTGCCTTCACCAAGCACTGTGCTGAGAACAATGTATGTATTAGTGCATCCAACCTCAAACCAAACCCAAACCAGTATCCCCACCTGAAGGCAAAGACTGAGACAGAAGTTTAAAGTTGTAAAGCTGGAATGCAATCTGGTTTCTGTATCTTGTCCCAGGTTTCAGAAACTGCCGGCATTAACCGTCGCTCAGACCATCAGCACACGCTCACAGACCCAGACTTGAACTTGACGGTATGAAGTGGGATCAGCATGGTCCCTGAACCATGAAACTATTAGCTGGTTTTGTGTGGGTGCAGAGTTGTGCTTTTTTCTGGAATGCTACCTTGCATATGCTCAAAGAGGCCTTTAGAACTTTGATACTCACCCCAACAAAAAAATACCAAGAATTATTCAATATATTCTCCTTTGTAACCCGTAAGCCTGAATAACCCTTACTGTGTAGTTCTGACAATATACAAATGTACAATAGTTGAATCATTAATACCTCATATGTATAGTTTTTACAAGGCAATTTCCATTAAGATGGATATTTGGTCTAAAAAGAACATTTTGGATCTACCATTACCATGTTGTCAAGTTATTTTCAAATACACTGTCACTGACATAGGGAAGAAGGCCAAAGTGACAAAATCTAAAGAATTACAGGAGAGTGTGTAACATCGATATGAGACTAGGAGGGACAGATCATGAAGGACCTAGTAAATCGGAGAACATGTTAAATAGAGGATTTTATCCTGAATATTTTTCCTTGGGATGACACCAAGAAATGTTAAACCAGGAAGAGGATATCCTTCTTTAAGGTTTTCCTCCTGTGACCACACGGAGATGAACTGTAAGGACCCAGGGCGGAGTGCAGGGCAGGGTAAGCAGCGGCTGCAGTGGTGCAGGAGGGATAATGCAGGCATCAGGGGCGAGAAGAGGGAAGGTGAAAACAGAAGCCGAGCAACTGTTTTAGAAGCAGGGTCACGGTCTTGATGGGGGTCAGTCTCAGGGAAGAAGGAGATGTCAGGGCCGACTGCACGCTTCTGGCTTTAGCTGCGAGGAAGACCAGACAGCTGGCGTGCAGGAAGGACTGACACACCCAGGAGAGGCAATGGGAGGGCTGAGCGTGAAACAAATGATGCAGGCTGTGTTTCTAGAAAATAATGTGGCAGCACTGTGTGGGCTCAGTGTGCCACCGAATCCTGTCGCATTATTGTCACAGATTTAAAATAAATCTCGATCATTCTATTTGGATAATTTCAAAACAAAGAATACAGAATTTGTGACACAGCAACACAGATGAAAGCAAAAAAACCAAAAACTAGCGGAATTTATGCTTCCTATTTCTAGTGATCACAACTGCTTATCTGTAGCGATGGTGTGTCAGAATTGGTAGGAAATACTGAATTTAGAGGACAGTGACAAAGGCCAAGGAAATAATGAAAACATACAAAGCACCTTAATGTTTCATAATATTCTTACATATAAGGATATTATTTAAGAATATGTGAAAATACCTATTTTTTTCTAAGACATCTTGTTATGAACATAATATTCTAAAGTATTTTTCCAAATCACTAACAGAATGTATCATCTAAGATTTGCCTATTCTGTAGCAAAACAAAAAGGCCAATTAGGTAAAAGTACAAAGTCATATGGAAAGAAGAAAAAGGCTTGTTAGCTAACATTTGCTTTTCCTCTGAAGTCATTCCTGAAGACACCAAGTTCCACCACCTTAATGAATGGTTAAGACTGTGGTCGGTCAGCCCAACCGCCTGGCTCTATTACGGCTCCCAGTCAAGTCTCCTGCAGGCTGCTGACGCTGTTTTCTCCTCCCGAAAGCTACTACGGTCTTCAGCAGCTATCTCATCCTGAACTCCACTTGCCATCAGGCAAATTAAATCAGGCGTACGGACACAAATGCAAAGAACTGTATTATATGTCTCGGCTTACCTAGACTTGTTTTTTGCCTTTGTAGCTCTTCAGCCATTTTCTCAACTTTTTTCTGAAATCTCTTATCATTTTCTGGTGTTTTAAAAATAAAATCTTTGGGCTGCATACACTTACGCTGTGAGAAAAGGACACAAAAATTAATGCTGTACTGCAACTGCTTAAGATAGGAACAAAAGCCCTCTCACATACATTTCTGATGCTTTTCACAACATCAGTAATAAAAACTTCTGAAAGGTGTTTCTTGCACCGTGTGTAAATTGGCAATATTTTTTATTGCACAATTATAAAGAAAATGGACAGAATTTAAAAGATTGAATAAAAGCCTCTGTATAATGCTTTGTGAGACATTTTCATGATCCCAGCATTCATAGTTTCCATCACAGTTTTTAGCCAAACCGGTCTCTTTCCATTTTTTGCTGTTGCCATATGCGCCCCATCTACTTCAACTTTGTGTAGCCAAATGGCGAACTGTTTTTGAGTTGCCATGGACCCCAGGTTGCAAGTTATATCACTTGAGCATGCCCAGGTGAAGCAAGCATGTAACCATGGGTGGAATCTAAGCATTTAGACCAAGGAACAGGGTCAAATTAAGGAGTAGACACCTGATGGCATAACCCATGATCCAATCAGATTGAGTCCTGGCATCACCTCATGACACAACCCAGTAAGATCATGCCGCCCAACATCACCTCATTACAAGATCCAATCAGATCACACTGGGTTTTCTCTGCCTATGAAACTGTCTGAGCCCCCATCTCAGGGAGGCAGATTTGAGCGTTTCCTCCTGTCTCCTTGCCAGGCAACCTGCAATAAAGCCTTTCTTTTCTCAAAAGCAACTGCCGTGATCTTGGACTCTATGTGGGTTGGGCAGCAGGCCCACTGCCTGCTTGGTAGCACTATTCTCACACCATCCTTCCCTGCAAGACCATGACGCAGTAATCAAACAATTTCTATTTTATAATTACCCCCCCAAAAAAAACCACTATCTAACCTTGCCCTACTGTCATTAAATCATAGTAACTCCAATCAGCCAGTAAAACCCCAAAACTATAACTATACACACAAACACACGAAACCCCAGGCTGATATCCAGAGGAAGGTCTTTGGTTAACTCTACTCTTACCATCCTCAGAAAAGGAAAACATGTCCTTTAAAACATATCTCATGACTGGGTATGGTGGCTCATGCCTGTAATTCTAGCACTTTGGGAGGCCCAGGAGGGCAGATCACGAGGTCAGGAGTTTGAGACCAATGTGACCAACACTGTGAAATCCCATCTCTACTAAAAACATAAAAATCAGCTGGGCAAGGTGGAATGCACCTGTAATCCCAGCTACTAGGGAGGTTAAGGCAGGAGAATTGCTTGAACCTGGAACACAGAGGTTGCAGTAAGCCAAGATCACGCCACTGTACTCCAGCCTGGGTGACAGAGGGAGACTCCATCTCAAAGAAAAACAAAACAAAACAACAACAACAACAAACACTTCACCTTCCCAGACTTACCCACATTCTCCTCTTAGAACTGCCCATTGACTTCCCATCTTTAGCCCGGCCAGCATCACAAATACATATACTGATCTTCACATCGATTTTACCTACTACCACTTTTATGCCTCATTTCTTTCTTACAGGACCCCAGGGAAATTTAAGTCATCTCTCTAGATCCCTTGCTTTTCAGCTTGAAGCTACCAGCCCAAATCTGCTTATATGGGTAACCAGCCTAACTTCTTTTGCTCCAGTCTTAAACAAAGAACTTTTTTAGCCATTCGTGGCTAATGCCTACACTGGGGATCTTGCTCTGTTAGTTATTCACTCATTTATTGACAAAAAACATTACTATATGTCAGGCGCTGGTCTTGCAACCTAGAAAGATCTTTGTCATCACAGAGCTTGAATGCTGTCAAGGAATGACAGAAAATAAACGTTAAATAAATAAGTAAAATGTATGTGTCTCGGGAGGTTAATTTCAATAGGCTTGGAACCAGCATGGACTGCTTTCACTAAAGAAGCCGCATGACACAAAATGTACTAAATAGACAGTGGTGTTTTATAGCCACAGGTCCAGGAAGTTTGGGGGCAGATTGTGCCAGCTTGTCGACACTGTTTACGATTAGTGAGATGAAGGAGTTGCTGGAGGCTCTGCCAGTGGGGCTGGTTCACATCGGCTCGTGGCCAGCAGTGTACAAGGAGGCTCTACCTTGTGCTCTCTGGTTCTCAGGTACTGTGCAGATTTGGACACATTGTGATTTCTGGGTCCTGTGAATCTTCTCTAGCAACTGCACTCCATCAAACGGGCCACATGACCACTGTTAGGAAGAGCCAGTAAGCACGGCGGAGGAAAAGGGACTTGATAGTGGGCACAAGTGGGAAGACAGTGCTGGTATAAATGAGGTGTCAGGATAGGTCTCATGGAGAAAGTAACGTCTGCACAAAGCCATAGGGAGGCTGGAAAACGGGGCCCGTGGGTGGATTTGGGGGGAAGAATGTTCCAGACAGAGGGAATAGATAATGCAATGTGTTTGAAGCAGAAACATGATTGGTACGCTTGAGGAACAGCAAGCTGGGCAGACAGGCAGCAGAGAGAAAGAGAGGAGGAGAGAGGAACGCACAGAGCCTCCTCAAAGGCCCAGGAGAAGAAGGACTCGAGTCAGGTTTAACTCGCAATTACATTTGGAAAAGAGAAGGGAAGGTTTTTAAAGTGGTAAAGTGTATGAGCAGTCATTTATGCTTTAGATTCGGAAAAATTGAAAAGATTAGCAATATCCAGTATTGGTAAGACTATCAAGAAACAGGTAATCTTTTTTTTGAGACAGGGCCTTGCTGTCACCCAGACTGGATTGTAGTGGCATGATCTTGGCTCACGCCAACCTCCACTTCCTGGGTTCAAGCGATTCTCCTGCTTCAGCCTCCTGAACAGCTGGGATTACAGGCATGCATCACCATGCCTATCTCAATTTTGTGTTTTTAGTAAAGACAGGGTTTCACTATGTTGGCCAGGCTGGTCTCAAACTCCTGGCCTCAACTGATTCGCCTGCCTTGGCCTCCCAAAGAGCTGGGATTACAGGTGTGAGCCACTGCACCTGGCCAAGAAATAGGAAATTTTGTACAAGATTGGTGAAACAGTTAAAATCAAAATGTGTTTGTATTCTGGCCCAGTAATTTTTATCTCTAGACATCTGACTTGGAGAAATAACCTCATATACGTTGCTTAAGTAATATACTCAGCAAAAACTGACAATGTCTAAAAGTACATGAATACTGGGAAAATAGTCACAATGTATAATACAATACAGAAAACTGAGCAGAATCACATCTACGGACATGAAATAGTCAAAACCATATTGCTAACTGGGGAAGAGAAGGCAACTCACCAAACAATACACATAAGACAGCAGAGCCCCTTCATGTCAGGCATGCCTGTGTGAGTATGTACATGTGTGTAATGTAAGGAAGAAGTGCCACCCAGGATAGTCATCAAATTGAAAGCTGCTTGCTTTGAGGGAGGGCAACCAAAAGAGACATCTGCTTTATCTGTGCTTACCAAATGTTTTACAGTGAAAACATGCATGTACTACTGTCGAGTTTTTACAATGAACACTTGATTTTATCATGTCACAGGGGGTTCCAGAGACTGCTAAACACTTTTCACCTATAATCAGGTAAGACTGAAGGAAATTCATCCATCACTAGATGGGCAAACTCTGGCTTGTCTGAGATGAAATGTAACAGAAATATCATTTACTATTTTCAGGAAACGTAGTTTGGTCTGGAGAGAGTCATCCCTCTAACAGAGATTCTCATGTGAAAACAAAAGGGCTGGGATGTTTCAGAGTACACTATCCTCAGAAAAAGAAATCTCAATTAGAACTTTTAAATAAACAGAAAGCTGAAAGGTTGTGATTAAAATGTGAATTAGGTCTCAAATGAAAGCAATGTCTTTAACTCTACAATTTGCCCTGTGTATCTGCAGGTTCCAGGTCTGTGGATTCAACCAATCATGACTGGAAATATCAAAAAAAATTTTTTTAGCACAAATTAAAAAACAATACAGTATAACAACTATTTACAAAGCATTGACACTGTATCAGGTATTATAAGTAATCCAGAGATTACTTAAAGTATATGGGCGGAGCCAGGTGCAGTGGCTCATACTTGTAATTCCAACACTTTAGGAGGCTGAGGCAGCAGAATCACTTGGGACCAAGAGTTTGAGACTAGCTTGGGCAACATAGAAAGACCCTGTCTCTACAATATTTTTTTTTAAGTATATGGGATTTGTATAGGTTATATGCAAATACTACTGCATTTTACGTAAGGGACTCCAGCATCAGTGGATTTTGGTCTCTGGCCAGGGTCCTGGAGCTGATCCCCTATGGATACTAAAGGACAACTGTATTTGTACAGCAGATTTTCTCTAGTAAATGACTTTGCACATTTGGATGTATGTCCATCCAACTTGTGAGATTTTTCTGGCTAAAAAGAATACAGGTATTTTTGCCACAGATACAACAAACTTAATTCTGATGTGAATGCCAAAGCACCTGAATGTCTGCTTATCTCTCGGCACCTTTTAGATTCCCCATGGCCAACCACGGTCCCTTCCACTTCCTACAAATGCTATCGAAGAATTCATGGGATAAAAATAATCTTAAATTCACTAAAAATGGTATATGAAAAGAACAATGTCATCAATAGCATACTTAAGATAACTCTTGAATGTATTTGTGGAAGTTTTATTTTCTAGAAATAAAAAAAATAAAATGAATAAATTCCTAATTGCCATTGTCTACACTGAAACCACGTACTTACCTTTTTTTTAATTAGGCTTGGCAAGTGTTCTTTCGTATTAGCTGCAGGGAACAATGATTCGTCAACGTGTGCTCCGGCTGTCCTGCATCTGTATAATTAAATTAAGGTAGTCTAATCAGTATTTGCTTCCATTATACACCGACACAGCACTAAATCTGCACCTGTATCAGCAATTTAAGAAATCCGTACCTAGGTCATTTTAACAGACCTTTAAAAAAGTAAATACCACAGCAAATACAAAAGTCACTATAAACCAAACTTCCCAAAATCGTCTCTATCTGGTGTTTAAGTATAAGAGAAGCAAGAGGCAGGTAAAGGAAGTATAATTTTTATGCTGCAATTTTTGACTTGTAGCATACTTCAAAATTATTAGCGTATGGTGCTCATAAAGGCATGAGTAAATGCTATTAAACGGATCATTTAATTGTAAACAGGCCATAAAACAGGTAATTCAGAGGTAGAAGGGATGTAAAGAAATTGAGGCCAGAAAACATATCTTTCCTACAAAATTGTGTTGTCCTTTTTGTGTTTCTGTCTAGAGAGCACCATCAGCCCCAAGGCCTGGTATGCAACCCCCACATTGCCAAGCCTCCTCCTGCTGCCCTGTCTGTGCTCACACCTGACATTTATCTCTGGATTCCTGTGACCGTTATCTCCTTTAGCATTCTGTCCCTCAAATCTAAATAATTATCACGATGTTCTCAATGTTCTCCTGCCCTGCTGTTTGTTTCTCCTCTTCTAGTTCACGCACACATTACTGAAATATTAATCCTAAAACATTTTACTCACTTCTCCCCAATCCAGATAAAAACCTCCTACCACTCCCATATTTACAGCCTATTCTCAATTATCTGCTGGTTAAGTGTTTTTATACTAAGGCCTCTGTAACCACCTCTCCAACTATCCCTCACAGCCCTATCACTGTTCAACATCTAACAGGCAATAATTAAAGTACACTGCAATTAAAAAACACATATCCATGTTGATATAGGAATTTCTACAAAATATGTTAGGAATGAAGTTTCAGAAATATGTGCCTTTGTATGGTACAGTCTAATCTATGCAGTGTGGTAAGTGACACTAGTATAGCAAATCTCATCCTGGTGTCACTGACACCCTTCTGAGGGTGTGCAAAGTCAATCCTATCGTGTGTGTGTGTGTGTGTGTGTGTGTGTGTGAGAGAGAGAGAGAGACAGAGTCTCACCCTGTCATCAAGCTGGAGTTCAGTGGCACCATCTTGGCTCACTGCAACTTCCGCCTCCCAGGTTCAGGCGATTCTCCTGCCTCAGCTTCCTGAATAGCTGGGATTACAGGCAAGCGCCACCATATGTAGCTAATTTTTTTTTATTTTTAGTAGAGATGGGGTTTCACCATGTTGGCCAGGATGGTTTCAATCTCTTGACCTTGAGATCTGCCTGCCTCGTCCTCCCAAAGTGCTGGGATTACAGGCATGAGCCACCATGCCTGGCCAATATTATCTTTAAAACAATACTAACATATGATTTTCCATTTTTGTTTCACATTATCTCCTGAGTATACAATGCGGTGGAGTTTTCAGAAGCAAAATGATTTGCTATCCCAATATATCGAATGCAGAGGCAGATCTGAGAAGGCAACTGTTGTCTATTAAGCCAGGCATCAGAGAAATCTGCAAAAAGGTACAAATTTAAAAAAGAACGCAAGGCAGTTATTGTAACAAGAGAAGTACAACCAGGCAGAAAAAATGCAAAAACGAGCATAATGAGTGTGGTTCACGGAAAGCTTCAGGTCGGAGATGATCACCAGGCTCAGCTGTGACAGTGAGGCAGACGCGGGGGACACAGATCTTCCATGTGGAAGCAGAGCACAGACTCAAGCACAGTGGAGCAAAGAGCGTGACATTTTTGGGAAAACGTAAAAAAAAAAAACCTTGCGATCCAAGGGTTACTCTTTCCAAGCCAATAAGCTGAGACACCGTCCTGTGGGTTCTGGGGCATGGGGACAGGTTTAAGGGAGAGGTTGTGGGCAGGTCACCAGTCCAAGACAAGGGCACTGAGAACAAGGAGGTCAGTCAGGGACTATTGCAATAACTGAGGCAGGAGACACCAAAGATTCAGCGAAGGCAGCTGGGGACTAAGACGGGGAGGGGGAATCCTTAAGTGAATGATATTTAGACAATAAAAATGGAAAGTTTCTGACCTCTGGTTAAATCTGGTGGACTGAGCACATGCTTTTCTCTTGACTCCCAAAACCCCAATAAAATGGTAGTAAAGGAAAACAAAAAGACACAAACTAACAAAAATAAAGAGTAGATAACAGCTGTCTGGGGAACTGAAATCAAACAAATAAAAAAAAAAGAAAACCCAAGCCTGGCAGCTGGGACCGGGGCTGAGTCCTCTGGAGCTCAGAACCACTCAAGGGCTGGAGGCACAGGTGAAGCCAGAGTAAGCAGTCAGGGCTGGGGCCGGGGCAGAGGGCAGCAGGCAAAGGGCAGAATGCTGAGAAGAGGCAGCAACCCTCCTTGCCTGTGCCCACTCACCACCAGCCAGCACCAATGAGAACTGGGTCCGTGTTCCAACAACTGAAGCCTGAGAAGCTCTGGACTCGAAAGACACGAGGCCAAGCTCAAGAAAAACAAAAAGTTTTCCATGAAAGGACGTGTATTCACGGTTCACTTTGAGATTCAACCTAGCACACAACTTCCACAGTCATAATGATGTCGACACAGACTACTGATTTAACCAACATGCATCATGTACACTGGAATAAAGGGTGGAAAGAGCCTGCACATGAATGTGTCCGTGCAAACGTCTACGTGGGGGGTGGGATGCCCTGGGAGGGGCCGATTAAAAACAAAATCTCCACTTCCCTATCAGAAAGTACTAGATAACATTCGAAACTGAAAAACCAAAACAGCGATACCCAGAGTGTTCAGCAATATGGAGGTCACTAAACAGTTTATCTGCAGAAGCAGCCACATGTGTGAAAGGAGCCGCCTCTTGGGAACAGGAATTGAGGGTGAAAAGGGTCAAGAAAGGGACAATTGCTTTTCATGATAAGCCTTGTAATACTTGGTTTGTGTGTGTGTGCACACACTCGCACATATGCCCATACAATGGAACATGATTCCACCATAAAAAGAAATAAAATTCTAATACAGATGACAACATGATCAGCCATGAAAACATTACGCGAAGAGAAAGAAGCCCGATACAAAGGCCATATATTATATGATTCCATTTATACGAAATGTCCAGAATAGGAAAATCCACAGGGACAGAAAGTAGATTAGCAGCTGCCTTGGCTGGTGGAAGGATGGGGATAGGGCCAAGGGGTCCAAGGTTTCATTCTGAGGTGATGAAAATGTTTTAAAATTGTGGTGATGGCTGCACAACTCTGTGAATACAGGCATGTGCTGCCTAACAATCTTTTGGTCAATGACAGACCACATACACAATAGTGATCGCATAAGATTATAATGGAGCTGAAAAAGTCCAATTGCCTAGTGACGCACTGATGATCCTTATCCCATGGAGGCCTAGGCTAATGTGTGTCTTTGTGTCCTAGTTTTGTTTTTTTTTTAAGTTTGGAAAGTAAAACTGAAAATTAAAAAATAGAAAAAAATGGATAAAGATATAAACAAAGTATTTTTGTACTGCTGTACAATGTATTTTACAGTGTTATTACAAAAGAGTCAAATATTTAAAAAATTACAAAGTTTATCATGTAAAAAAAGTTATAGTAAAGCCAAATTTAAAAAATAGAGTATAATAATTATTTACATAGCACTCATATTGCATTAGGTATTATAAATAACCTAGGTTTTTTTCCTCCCCCGACAAATACGAGTAACAAAGAGACAGATGATATACTTATGGGAGGAGCCGGGTGCAGCAGCTCCCATATATAGTCCTAACATTTTGGGAGGCAGAGGTGGGAGGACCGTTTGAGGTCAGGAGTTGGAGACTAGCTGGGGCAATGTAGCAAGACCGCCATCTCTACAAAAATTAAAAAAAAAATTAGCCTGGCATGGTGGCACATGCCTGTAGTCCCAGCTCTCAGGAGGCTGAGGTAGGAGGATTGCTTGAGCCTAGGAGGTTGAGGCTGCAGTAAGCCATGATTGTGGCCACTGCACTCCAGCCTGGGAGACAGAGCAAGACCTTGTCTCTAAAAAAATGTTACAGTATCAGCTATTACAGCTGCTCCAAAAAACCTACATTCAATGTAACCTAAGTGTATGGTGTGTATAAAGTCCACAGTAGCATACAGTAGTAACACCCTACACCTTCACATTCCCTCACCACTCACTCAGCGACTCACCCACAGCAACTTCCAGTCCCACAAGCTCCATTCAGTCAACACTCTATATCGGTGTACCATATTTTATCTTTTATGCCATATTTTTACAGTACCCTTTAAGTTTAAATATGCTCAGATACACACATACTTAGCACTGTATTACAACTGCACATGCTGTAGAGGTCTGCAGCCTAGGAGCAGTAATATGTGCCACAGAGCCTGGGTGTGCAGTAGCTCTGTCATCCAGGTGTATGTAAATACACCCTACGATGGCTGCACACGAAAAATCACCTAACTATCCATTTCTCAGAAGGCATCCCTGTTGTTAAGCAGTAAGTGGCTGTATATTTAAAGCCAATGAATAATGTACTTTAATTGGTTAAACTGTGTAGCATGAGAATTAGATCTTAAAATACTGTCGGGGGGAAAAAAAAAAAAAACCATGAGATACCACTACCCATCCGCTCGAATGGCTAAAATTCAAAAGATGGATAAATTACAAGTATCGGTGAAGACGTGGAGAGAACAGAACCCTCACACACTGCTTGCGGGAATATACAGCGCCATAACCACCTTGGAAAAGTATGGGTAATAACCCAAGAGAAATGAAAGCATACAAGATGCAAACATAAATGTCTGTTGTAACTTTATCCGTAATGACCCAAAATGGAAAACTATCCCACTTCCATCAACTGGTGGCCCTGTGGTACATGCCTGTAATAGAATACTTCTCAGCTATAAAAGGAAATGAAACCACTTCTACACACAACATGGACAAGTCTCAAAAACATCCCCTTCAGTGAAAGGAGT